AGCGTCATGACTATAACAGAATCTACAAATTCTACTATTCTCTTTATTTTCACAACATGTTTTGAGCTTAATTTTCTGTTCCTGAACCTCAATCCCTCAATAAAACTGCCTAGATAATCAGATACACCACAAAAATGACTGTACATATACTGTAACAGCCAATAAACAGCCAATTTTCCAATATCCCTGCATTTTTTCATTCTTTATAAAATATTATATTTATTATTTATATTATATTGTTTTATTTTATTGTGAGTAAGTGCTACGGTGCTTGCTTTTAAATTTGAGCAATTCATAATTTTAGCAAAATACATAACACTACTATAGCTGCAACAAACAATTGTTGATTAATCTACCAATTGTTTTTGAATACCTGACTAATTGTTTTGTCTATAAACTGTCAGAAAATTGTCAAAAGTGCTCATGCAATTTCTTTTTTTTTCTTCCTAGCAACAGTTCAAGACCCCAAAAAATATATACTATCACAGGAAACACAGAAAAGCAGCATATCCTCATAATTAAAAAAACATAATAAAAAAAACAGGACCTAAGTAACGTTTGACATTTTTATTAAAAAATGACTTGAACAATTGATTGACCATCAACATTAGCTGTCATTTTAGATCCTAAAAACTACAGCTAGAGACTTTACTTAACATGAATTCAAAAGCACAAAGGTATATGAAAGTTCAACATTGGTAATTTACTTTTCTGACAACACAACGGAAAAAGAATAATAAGAAATGTTTTATGGACTGGGAAGTTGGCTGCATCAGTAATGAGTGGTAAGCATTTCACATAACAGTGGCATTTAGCAGTTGGCTGTGTATATGCAATGAATCATCAAATGTCTATGAAGCATAGCACATGTACATACAATACAATCATTAAGATTCATGTCTTCCAGACCTCAACCCATGCATAAATGTTAAACATTCATATATTATATGCAGTGCATTGAATAAATAATTACACTCCTTGTTTCAGCCTGTCTTCATTTGCTACAGAGGGTTGAAAAAGTCTTGCTTGGTTGAGTGAAAGAGGGAGGGAGGGAGGGATGGGTTGGCTTTGCGAGATGTTTTCCTCAGATCAGATTTCTATCCATTTGATCCCAGAGAGGGTACCTCTCTGACATCACAGACTGACATCACATACTTGTTTTTTTCCACACTGTAATATTGTCAGAAATGTTAAAATCATAGCATTGATTAATATCTTGTTTCATATTGAATGCATAAAAGCATGTTTACAGCTATAAAAAAAATGGCCTGCAGTGTTCAACTTACAGTGGTATACATTTTTCCTGTGCCCTTCTTTTGTCTGCTAGTGTAGTGCTTTTATTCATATGAAAAGATGAGTACATAGAAAATCTGTCACAAAAAGATAGTACCAGGAGTGCTGTAATGACATTTAACAGGATAACCAATTAAAAATGGTAAACGTTAGGTTTTAGGCTTATTCCCTCAAAAGATTAAGATTAACTACCGCATAGCTGAGCCACAATTTTGTATTAATGTTTAACAATTCAAACAGGGATGTTTGACCTTACAATTATGTAATGCAGACACAAGATACAGTACGTTTTATGATATTTTGTTCTGACTGGAAATTGTTGCTCTGTTGCCATTACTAACATAATTCCTTTCTTTGTAACTCTCTGCACCTACACATTAACCAACAGCTAAATGTATCAACTCCAGGCAAGTAAAAAGGATATTTAAAGCTATTCTGGGACATGCAAGTCGTAACTTAAGCTAGAAGTGGACATTTATATAATAATAATATTTAATGTAGTAAAGTATCCAGTTGTGTACTTCGGTCAAGTGCAGCCAATGAAACATACCAGAATATTTGGACATGCTGGGTGATATTTTTAATGAGTTGATTACAAGGAATTCATTCTTCAAACTCCAAACTTAGTTCGTGATTCAGTTTCATGATTCAAGAGCCATATATTATTTCATTCACACAATCAGGACCCATAGAGTGAATGAATGAGGCAATAGGTCTTTCAACTGATGAGTCAGAACTTGACAGGGTCAGTAAGACACATGACTTTTACTGACATGTTATTTTTACCTCTTGTGCTGCGCTGTTGATTTTTGGCTAATTACCTCTCAGTGAAACCACGTTTTTTTTTTTTATAATTACAAGCTATAGCTTTAAAGATCATATAAACAAAAGTCTTAAACAACAGAGAAGTAGAACAGAAGGGAGGAAAACAAGCAAAGGAATGAGGTCTTACTCATGGTGCACTTATTTGATTAATGACATGTAGTAGGGCTGCCAGCATCCCCCAAGAATCATGACGTCATGTTTGGAAATCCTCCTGTCAGACCAATAGGTGGCAGAAGTTGCCAACAAGATCCAATGAGACGTGACGGACATTCCACCATTTCCAGGCAAAGATGAGAGAAACTTCCTAGTCAATCTCTCAAGTGCCACTTTGTCTGATAGCTTTCCACTCCAGTCAGAGGTGTGAGTAGAAAGAGTGGGGGAGGAAAGAAGGAAGGGAGGGAGAGCACGAGGGAAGGGAGGTAAATGTCACAGAGAGCACTTCGTGATGTTTAAACATTTGCCAGCCTCACAGTTTGTCACTTCTTGGCAATTACCTTACTATGAGCAACAATAACAAAACAGGTCACGAGATTGCAAAGGAAGTAACCTCAACAGGCGGAGGAGGATAATTTTAACCAGAGAAAGCACAACCTTGTAAAAGAAAATGCATGTTCTTGCGTATGCAATGTGATGGGACCATCTAGTTGTGTGTATGCGGTGCTTACAAGTTTGGTGAGCGTGTAGAACAACAGAACGATTTAATGAAAAACATGTGCAGCTTCCAAATTAGTTCATGAAATGTAATCAGAATCTGAGAACAGAAGACAAGATCATTATTTTTTATATTGGACAATATAAATCTGAAATTACAATACTAAAGTGTATTTGAGATAGGGAAGGGATACACGGCTGGTCCATAAGTTAACCAAAATTTCCCTCCTCCATCCTGCCTGAACATCTTAGTAAGGAAAATATCAGTACACAGTTCAGAAGTGATCACTATTTGAGAAAATCAAATCAATAAAACCTTTTTTTTTCAAGATTATTGTGATTTTTCTTTTGTTAAGATAAACTGGGATATCCCTGTATTGATTATATTAAATGTATCTTTGGAGTTACAAAAACTCACCTCCTGCTGGCTTGAGATTTGTAGTTTCCTCATTAAAAGAGATCAGCAGCTGTGGTGAACTTGTGTTCAGTCAGTCACAATGGATTCCAATAGTCACAACAAAGGAGCAAGATGTCCCATTGCGAATGGAGCATGAGTAACATGGAGGATATGACTAGCATATCATGGCTTGTGGTGTTGAGTGAGTTTGTCAACATCAATGAAGAGAGGGCGACAGCAGACGCTGTCATCGGGCAGTCATTCCTAACCTTTTTTTTTTTGTTTTTTTCATGGACTGAATAGTAATATGATGAGAGTTTGCCATAAATGCTAAGCAGAAACAGCCCTTTCTCACTGCTAGGCAAAGGAACAAAGGTTGTAGATGTGCTTGTAAAAGGTTGAGCATTTCCAGATCCAGTGTACTGTAGGTGTCCAGATTGCAGACATGACATTAAGTCATACACGTGTGTTGAAGCTGAAGCTCCAGTACATTTCTTTCTGAGTTTTGGATTGAAAAATTATGATCAGTGTGAAAGGATTGTTTATTGACAGGGACATGGTTGCTGAAGATTGTAAAGGGACTTTATTGCCCTCAAATGAGCCTGTCAGGAAATGTCCCAGGCAGTGAACTGGCCCTGCTAAGCTCCACTAATCACATGGCAATGTTTTGCTGCAGGTGAGAAATGTAAGGTTATGGTCAAGGCAGTGTTCAGCATCTACTAAAACAAGATGTTTGTTTTTGGGTGTTTTTCTCTCTCTCTCTCTTCTTTTTTTTTTTTTTTTTTGGGGGGGGGAATATCTTGTTCTTGTCATATATCTTCTTGTATAATATCTCCTCACTTATCATATCTACCTCCGTTTTGTGTTTATGCACATAAGGAATAATAAAAAGAAAGGAGAAAAATACAAAGCAGATGGGCTTTGGATAAAACTTCAGCAAGTTCCCTTAAAGTGAAGAAAGTTTGCAGGAACTTATTGTAAGAATAATAGAAAATGATGTTTGTACACACTTCTCTAAAACGTATTTCCTCTTCAAAAGCATTGCCTACACTGTGTCAGTGAGCGAAAGGGCGGTCTGGTAGTAGAGGGAGTTGGTGGCAAAACCGACACGAGTGACTCATTTTGTGAGCATGTAGGTCTCCTCTTCAAATTACTTACACTAACAAATAAAGTTGCTGTGAACTAAACCGTTGTGAGCGGATGTTCTTGCTCCAAATTAGCACACAAAAAAGGAACCACATGTCGTTCACTGTGAACTCAATGTCAGTGTGGCCTTGAAAATCATCCCAGGCTCCTTTCGAATAATCCAGTGAATGTGTATAATTACTTTAAAAACTTTGGAGACCACTCATCTGTTTTAACATTGACTTGTGGAGCTGAGAAATTTGGCATAAAATATGTCAAATTCCTCCTGTAATGCTGAGTGATTTTAGTTTTTACACAAAACGAGTTTTAAATACTGTGTATGTTTGACCTTATAAATTGTACAATTGTATTAATATCGTAATTATATTTCCTCCAAATGATTGAACACCAACATTGCAGTAGTAATTGCTTGGAAACTTTTTTTTTTTTTTTACATCTTTTACCTGGAAAATATCTTGATGTTCTTGGTTAATGAAAATCTATTGTCCAAATCAAGATTCCATGAATCGTACACTTCAACATGTCTATTCACAAACTGACATCTTATGAGATTATTATTTTTTGATGATGCACAGCATGGCATGTATGTCTGTCAGTAGGAGTTTTTTCCCGGGACAACAACAACATCAGTTATGATAATGACCACTCCCAAAGTTGACACATTTAATGGCATCACATCTGTCTACAGGAGCTGACAACATCAAGAAATATTGGAGTCGTTACTACCAGGGGTCACAGGGTGTAGTCTTCGTATTGGACAGTGCTTCATCAGATGAGGACCTTGAGGCAGCACGTAACGAGCTCCACTCAGCCCTGCAGCACCCGCAGCTCTGCACACTGCCTTTTCTCATCCTTGCCAACCACCAGGACAAGCCTGCTGCGAGGACGCCAAACCAGGTAAAATACAGTGCTATTGTCAATTTATTCCATCCGATGCATGTCTACTTGAATTAACTTCAGTTTGCCTTTCACAAATAAGCACTGCAGCTTCCACAGATTCATATAACATTACTGTCTCAATCGAAGTAAAAGGCAGTTTAGCATTGCAATTGTACACATTTAGACACATACTCACCAGTAGCTAATAAGTATACACATTTACGTGTCATGCCCCTGGGAAACGGGGAGTGGTGGTGTTGTGAAAGCACCCCAGGTCAGGTCCAAGTCAAACTGGTCTCCAGTGAGGGGCCAAACTAGAGCGATCAAAAGATTTCTATAAATGAGTGTTTTGAGAAAAGAGAAACCTCATCTGGAACAGAGAAACCAAAGCCTCCTCCTGCAGCCAAGTCTTGAACAGGAGCTTGCAGGCAGGTCCCTTGTGGCTGGCGTGTATCAACTGGGCCATGGTAAGGCTCAGCCCCAACAAATAACATGGGGCTTATGCCATGTGGGTCAACCCCCTCAAAGGTTAGGTGTGGAAGTCTAGTGCATTGCCAAGTGGTTGGTGGCCTGAGGCGGAGGGCATGACCCATGGCTATGAAAAGTGGCTCTTGAGATGTGAAATATCTCCCCTCTGTTGTGGAAGGAGCCTGATTTAGTATGGGACATGAAGCAGTACCAACTAGATATTTTTGGATTCACCTCTATGCACAACACTGGCTTTGGAATTTTAACATACCACAAGTTTTTAACTGGTTATGAAACAATTTCAGTTTAATACTGATGTCTCTATATGACCCACATAAACAAACAAGACCATCAGTGAAAAGACAGGCTATTTCTATTTAGTTATTCTTAATGCCTGTCACCGGGTCAGATCAGGTAGGATTCCCCTTGAAAGCAATAATACAAGGTGGTAGAAACAATACCGTTTTTGTCCACAGGGTTGGCCAAAATCAACACAAAATGGAAGATCCTTGTTATTAATAGAAATACTGTTGCTTCTACCTACAGGACAGCACTTTGGGCTGTCCAGCCATTTTATAGTTTCTTGATAGGTTCAAGAGAGGGTGTCACCTGGGTAGTTTTTTACAGGAACTTCAAGACTTCAAGACTCTCAAAACAGAGAAGCCATGGGGCTGACTGTATGGAATGGCCTGCTCAGTGGCATTTTGTTTTGGGCTGCCTATAATGAACAACATGTTTGGATCAAGTGGTGGCAAAAGCTATCACTTTGCAAAAGCCACTAAACCCAAATGCACAGTGAACTGAACTGGGAATGTCTGGCTATAGCCCATTTGTGCAAAGTATTAATTTTCACACCTCAATGAAGGATAGCGACATGTTATCCAATTGTGCCATGTTCAAAGCCTCCATTACTGATGTTGTTGTAGGAATTATGGTTAAAAGGTCTTTGGTGCCTGCCGTGACTGTAACCTAATTACCTGCTAGTGGACACCACCGTTGAGAGAGGTTGCCAAGCTAAAGAAAGAGTCTTTTCAGTCTTGGTTTGCCCAAAAGAATTCTGAATCAGCAGACAAGAATGTTGAGTCTCGAAGGATTGCAACTTCTGTTGTCGCAAAACCAAAATCTTAAATGTGGAAAAAGTTTGGGGAGTTCATGATCAGATGGACTTTTGGTTGGCCTCAGCAAGGTTCTGCCAAACCGTCCAATTACTCAGATTACTCAGGAATGAGTATACATGTCACCAGAACCGATACTTCTGTACCAAGTTGATCCCAAAGTCTGAAAATGTGACTGTACTTATTTTTATACAGTACCATAGGTACCAGGGATTCAGTTCTTCCGGACCTGACAGAGCAGCATATAAGCCTACGCCTACAGCAGCCTTTCCCATTAATTATAGACTGTGGCAGCACTAATTTCTCCTGACACGGTTTCATAATGAATTTAAAATATTTTCACACTTCTCTCTAACATCGTGTTTTGCTCCATTGCTTCAGTAAAGCATCTCTCATGGCACGTACACTGCCTACCTGAGCAGCGCGTGTGCGTGGCGGAGCATCCTAGTTTTTCTTAGTCCGGCACCCATATGAACAGATTAGGTCACACTGACCCCCTGAGTTGCGCGTCTCACGCACGTCTCACGCACGTCTCACGCACATCGCGGCTGTGGCTGCAGCAACGCTTCACTAGAGAGTCGAGGACTCGTCTATCTTTTCCACACGGTTCCCAGCAGTAATAGACCGTGAAAGGGGTCTGTTCATACTCATATCAACAATATACCAGTAACATATACACCTTTCACAAAAATATAAATTTATTTTTTAAACTCAACACCTATCTGTTTCAGATTAAAAGCTCTCTGGCATTTCTGTGGACAGAATCCATTCATATGTTGACAATGTAATATGTTTATTGTATGGTATTTATCAAAGGCAAACTCAGTGTAGAAAGATAGGACTGGCAGCAGCAGCTCTGCAGCAGCTGCGCAGCTGACACGCTGTCGGTGTAAACACTGCGCGTGCCAGATGCAGCTGTTCAGCGCTGTAGCCTTCACGCGCTGCTCAGGTCAGCTGTGTGAACCAAGTGTCACTCCCAGTACAAGTATCCAGGATCAATTAACTAGTGGACAATCTCCCCTCTCTCTGCCCCTTCTGTACCGTCTAGTAACAGTCGCACATGCTTCAATTATTGGTAATTGTATCAACAACTAAATTTCTGGTATCTTGACATCCCTAAGAAGGAGGAGTAGGGGCCTCTCAGCAGGAGAGGAAGACCACTGACCTCGACTAGGAATAAGTGTAGGAGGAACCATTTGAGAAACTTCTGAACACAACAGATATTGCCTATAGAGGAGGCAAAGTTGTAAGACCTGCAAGCTTGGCATATCTATTTGGTGAAGGTTACAGCTCTCCGGGGCAGGATGCTTAATGTGTTTTGGCTGTCTCGGCTGACACGCCTCTTCAGTGTTGTGACACAGTGTGCTTCAGTTATTAGGGTATCAGTCTGCTTATCCTCCGGGGTCCTTCTTTTGCCAAGGTGCTGGAAAGGAGGCTTCAACCGACTGTTGACCTGTAGATACAGGAGGATTAATGCAAATTACATCCTGAGGGTGGAACAGTGGACCAGCTTTTTACACTTGTAAGGACATTAGTGGTAGTGACTGAAAGAACACACACGGGACAAAAATGCATTGCTTTTGCAGGGTGTCTTGGCTCACCCTCAGGGACAAAAACATCCGGAAGAACCTTTGAAGAACCACTGCTCCCTCAAATTGAAAGGAGCCAGTAAAGTTGGCTTGGGGATCTCAATAGGATGCCTGAACACCTCCTTGAGGTGGCACATCCAGCTGATAGGAAACCCATGCTGTGGGTATTTTATATTCTACCTGTCACCTGCCACCATGATCTGGATCTGCAGTAAAAGTATTCATTTGTTAATAATCAGTTTTTGATGAAATACGTTGTTTTGGTGAAACAGCTATGTAAGCTTGCAAAATTGTTCTATTGCAAATTATCTTTCAACATAGTCTCTCCTTAAAATGCCCTAGTCCTGACCGTGTTGTTAAAGCTTTTTGTAATTGAATAGCAGATATTTGTTTCATTTTCAGTGTAGCAGGATTTTCCAATCCCAGCTAATTTTTTGTGATACATTTATCTGTTTCACAGGGTTAGAAGAGACACAGGGCATGTGCTTCCAAGATGCTTGCTTTTATCGTTGGCGGTAAATGGTCCATGAAACAGGTTTTGAGGTCTGGAACACAGATTCCCAAATTTTTTGTTCGGCTGTTTTTCCCCCTTATTTAAGTTATAGATTCTAGGTCGTTGTTTTTTGGCAGGTCAGTTTTTGGCATTTAATCTTGTCATTTATGAATAGCGTAGTTCTAATTTCAGTAAGTTCGTCCATGTCATTTGACAATTTGCTTGTGTGACATTTCTTTAGGGTTGCAGACTCCATATTGTTCTGGGCAGGTTTTGCTCTAATCCTCTCTATGTATTGACTGAGCAGGAAACAATGTTCTTCTGATTGAGCATCTTACCAGCACTGGGAAATGTAGAACCCCATGACTGCAAACCTTTTTTGTTCCAGTTTTTCCCTTTTGTCTCAAATCAAAGCAGTTTGACACTCCACCAACAGACAGGCTGTAATTGTTCAGAGATAGTAGAAATGTCATGTAGTAGTCATGGAGTAGTAGGTCATGTCACCACCTCCCCTCAGGACAGAATTAATCACTGCTAGTGGAGGCTGGGATAAAATGCAGCACAACTAGGGTAGTCTATACCACCTCTTTTTCTCTTTTTTTGTCTTCCTCTTTGCTAGGGCATGCTCTACCACTCTGCCTCACTCACAAAAGGAGCCTCTTGGAGGAGGAGGTTACAGAGAGCATTCCCTGTGCAATGTCCCTTATGTTTCAAAACCCTTGAACCTCACTTTCCTGCACACTGACAAAATAACACATACACAAACATATACGCACACATGCATTATCTGCAGAGGCCTATTTAAGGTTTGTGGAGGATATCAAAGGTGGATGCCTGGAGAGAGAGGAACATCTGCATTTCCTAGACTAAACCACCGGTGTTGCTGCTCTTCAGTGGAAAATGATAGAGAAGAAAGTTCTATACCAGATTCTGCTGTTACCCAAACTGAAAGCCACTATAGTCACAAAAAAAAACCCATTAATCTTATTGATATTTTAAATGGCAACTGCTTGCTTTAAACCCAACAACACTGGTTTCTTTGTTGGCCCTCATAACGTAGCCAATTAATCCAGTCTGTGAGCTGCCCACACTTGCCCAGCGGTCTTAGCGTGATGTGTCCTCTGCCATATTTGACCCATCGTTGCATCAGTCTCTGGGAGTATTGACTTTTCTGAACGGTTTGCAAACACTGATGACACGTGAGACTGGCTTATAGGGACGGATGGATGAGATGAATGTCGCCTAAAGGCCTTGTTTGCACCATGTTGGATGTGCTATTTCAGTTCATAATGAATGACTTACATAAAGAGAGTTGATCAGGGCTGCTGATGCTGATGTTATTTGCATTTGTTT